GCAACCAAAAAAAAAAAACCAATCAAAACTCCAATTTAACTCAACTTCAACACAACTCCATTGTCCTCAATAATATCAATATAATTAAATACTATAAACCAATCATTCTTACACATCACATCAACTTTAATTCATTATTCATCCATTCACATAATTTTAGCTAACCATTTTCCTCCTACGTTTACATCAAATCATCTTTACTTATTTTATTTTTAAATATTATTTAATTCAAAATTAAAATTCTCACTACCAACTAACCATACCACATTTTTTTCAAAATAACTAAGGTTAACAAAAAAAAAAAAAAAAAAAAACCAATTAAAAACCAATCAAATCCATCCCTAACACGTACGTTCCATGGCCATCGGCATCAAACGGCGAAGCAAAGTCCTGAGTGGCATTAAAAATCCCTCGAGTAATTGCAGAGGCTGCAAAATGGCGGGCCCCGACAAGCTTCCTGTTGCAAGATCCAGAAGGAAAATCCCTCGTGACTTCACAAATGCCGGTAAAACGATCGGGAATAGGGTAGATTCTTTCGGGGGTTTTATCCGAGAAGCTGATGTGCGTGGGATCAATTCCCGTGTCGATAAAGCCGATCACGATTCCTTCTCCCGCAGTTTCGAACCCGCCTTCTTGGGCCCACGCGCCTTGTGGCAGACCAAGAAACTGTGGCGTGTGAGTAGTGGCAGTTCGAACAGAGTAATCCAAAACCACGTTCGACACTTCTCCTCTCCTGGAAAGCCTTTCGGCCTTTTAAGATCACCATTGTATATAATTAACACTCATACATGAAAAGAACAACGCAACACGCGAAATAATGCGTTCTGTAAGAAAAACTTTAGTACTTGCTGAGGATTAACTAACCTGCTGTGGGGTGACAAGCACTGCAAACCCGTTGATTAGATAATGGTAGCTGTAAAGCTTTATATACTTTTCACCTCGTAGAACTTTTCGTAGTAAGGAATTGTGAATGCGTTCGGTATATGATCCGTGGTGCCAACCGGTCCTCGATGATACATTGCTGGTTTTATTAAGCCAAGTGGGATGTGTTAACTGTTAAACTAACAATAAATGAAGGTATTGATGAAACAAACCCAACAGTCATTTTGTCCATAATTATTCACAGCCAAAAGAAAATCAATCTCTACAAACTAACACTGACATTAGCATATACACAAACATCAAAGGAAAAAAAAATGAAAAAAAAAACCTAATTAAGAATGAAAAAGAATGCCAAACCAGACAAAATTACAAATCACTCACGCTTGTCAGTTACACACTAAACAATACCAACCTCAGACAAACAAGAAATGAATATCAAAATCTTACCTTGGTTTATCTAATCTATTCATTCTCTCGGACCCATTGCTCTTTAGATGCTTGCCCTTTTGAACTCTGAGTTCACCATGGTAATGAGAAGTTGGGGCCTGTTTGAGAGTCACAATATACACACCAGTAACATTACCTCCATTTTTCTGGCCATAACTGAACCCAACAAACACTCCCAAACAGAGCACTATCCCTATAAATCCAATTCCCCACCGGGCCTCCATTTGAGGTTGCAAGAATAGTTTTTTTTTTCCTAAACCCCCAACAAAAAAGAAAAAAAGAGCGAGATGTAAAAACTTTCTTGAATGACGAGGTGCAAAGATTCCTTCACGAAGTACAACCACCCATTTCGCCTCCCACCACAAAGCTTGCTCCTTTTCAGCTCCTCGAACGAGGAGGTACGATTCTTTATCCCAAAAGTACAAGACGCTACCGAGCCCAGAAGAGGAAACCTACAAAGCAAGAAACCATTCACCCCTAACCACACTCAGCTGTAAAGAGAAACTCCATAAGCCCCATTTAGCTCAGGCGCTCAAATAAAAAAAAAATAATAAAAAAATAAAAAATTTCTTTTTCATCTTTGCATCATAACTTCACAAGAAAAAAGGAGAGTGCACTAAGGCCAAGAGCGAGACTTTTTGGCTTTCCAGAATAAATAATAAATTTAAGTTCTCCCCTCTCTGTGTAAATTTGTTTATAGCTTTTTCTAATTAATAAAGCAGTCTAAGCAGAGAGACACATGATGTAATAAATTGAACTAATAATTTGGGGATTGGGTGAAATGCTATGTCCCGTGACGGTACCATTTCGTCTGGTGTTTTAACAATCTATCTTATCTAACAACACGTAGATCCAACGATTAAAACAGCAGACGGGATGGTACCGTAATAAAACCGTAGCATTTCCCATTAATTTATGAAAGAAAGGTCGAAAAAATAAATCAGTATAATCTTTTTAAAATTTCTATTTTTAAGCCTTAACAAGCTCGAGTGACTTGGTTCTTTAACTAAATAATTAGTTTTTTTTTTTTTTTTTT